AATTAAAAGTGACTGGTTTGTGAGCCTGTTTTTGTTTTACATTTTTGTTCCAGTCTTCAAGTTCAAATAATTATTCGGACATTTGTACCCATTATTCATCTTTTATAGTTTTATTCATTCCTTAAGATTCAAATTTTGAAGATTCTCAAGATTCATTTTGTTCATATATACTCGTTTTAATTTGTAACCAATGAAATTAAAAGTTCAAACAAGGTTTTTAGAATAAAGATAACCAAGAGGATAATTGAACTGAAAATATATATTCCAGAAAAGTTTAAATTCATGAAATGAGATGAAATGAGATGAAATGAGATGAAATGAGATGAAATGAGATGAAATGCAATGAAATGAGATGAAATGAAATGAGATGAGATGAAATGAAATGAAATGAAATGAAATGAAACGACATGAAATGAAATGAAATGAAATGAGGTATTTATATTCCGCTCATATGATTAACCAACAACACAAGGAACTGAAAACATATATTCCAGAAAATTTTAAATTCATGAAATTCATTCCTCAACACCAGGAAGGTGGTTAACCATGTCAGAGCGGCTAATTGTGAGTGATGTGAGCAAATGAGTAAATGTGAACTAAAATATTAGTCTACTCTTTAGACATAGACAAAATTATTGTAAACCACATTAAACTAAGTAGAGGCAGAAACCATACAATACATGTAGGTATAATAAAGGTTATTTCAGTGACATAATCAACCAAAAAGAAACAGATCCTAGAAAGGTAGAGATCAAGGCATAAAATGGAGTGCGATAAAAAATAAAAGCCAATATGTCTTGCAAACTGCAACGTGAAGACAAAAGGAGCAGTAAAAGACATCAAAACTGATTATACAAATGCTTAAATGGTTCTTTAACATTCGCTTGAAACAGTTAGTATCAGTAATACATCTCAACATCAGTGGAAGAGAGTTCCATGCAACCGGTGCATGGCTTGAGAAACGTCTGTCATCAACTTTGGACTTTTCATTTGTTGGTATCTTGAGCATGAGATGGTCACCCGGTCTCTTCGACCTGGTCACGGTGTTTGAAAGTTCTGTATCCTCTACATCCACATCCAGTAATACTTTGAGGTAACCCGGTGCAGTACCGTGAACTGATTTAGAATATAAGTTATAAAATACTTAAATGTCGGTTCAGAATGTCCATTTGAAACTCAACAATCGCGATCGGATGAGAAATCAATATGATTCTAGATACGTACAAAAATCGTGTCTATTTCTCCTAGATAACATTAATAACTATCATTACAGCAAAAAAATTGAACCCTTCTACCATGACAAGCAAATGTCATTTTGGATAATAAACATTTGATAATAAGCTTAGAAACAGGTGGGAGGATGGGCCATCCATGGGTCGTTAAAAAACTAACCATCTTCTTAAACTTCAGAGTTTATTCATGCTCTTGTTGAAAGTACTTTAGTGTACTTGCTTGTACTAATAGTAATACTTACTTGGGCTATAGCTATATAGTATATACTATATATATACTAGCTCCACGGGCCTCCTTTTTATTTTGCGACATTATGGCTCACCCTCCCACCAGAATCAAAGTTTATTTATCCAAGCATTGAAATTTAACTGGTACAAAAATCTGTTTTGTTTAAGGGGCCATCTACTTAGGACGTCCGCCAAAATCGCAAATTTTCAGACCACCCCCTCCCCCTGTCCGAATGTTTTCGAATTTTCAAAACCACACGAATTTTTAATTCGTTAATTCTGCCAAACTTTCCGGATTGTCAGAAACCACCTCCACCCTCCCCCTGTCCGGATTTCCAAAACTACCCCTCTATATTTGCCGGACGTCCTAAGTAGATGGCCCTAACTCTAATCAATATATTCAGTGAATAAAAATTCAAAACAACCACTAAGTTTAAATAAAAGTCGATATGCATTATGCACAGGCAATAAACACTTTTGTCTACCGGGTGAAACCAGCTTTGCGTATTTCGTCTGAAATTTATTTTGTCGATATTTTGTATATTTCTCATTATTCTTTTAGCTGAGTTATAAATTAACACTCGTTACAACCGATATTGTCCAATTGGAGGCCTTCATAATGCAGTCAAAATGATTATAACTTTTATTTCTATACCATTTCTTTTATTTCTATACATTTCTGTACTATGAAGGCATACATCCGAGGCAAGAAACCGTGCTTATGATTATGTGAGATTGCCTGTGTTTATGTAAAAATACACAGCTGAAATACAAAACCTTTATATCAGAAAACTGTAAAAATGTAATGTATAATCACTGTCATCAAAATCAAAATCAAACCCAAAAAATTGAACATTTCAAACTTACTCAAGCAACTAAGTAAATAAAATAAGTATTCAAAACCTACCAAACAACTACAACAGTCTCCTTATGTTTTTAAATTAGTTCTACCAGTCTCTGTTTTAACCCTTTTTCATTAGTGTCATTTTCAACCTTCGATTTAGACTTTCCTTTGTCCTTCGGTTCAGATCCGCCTTTACCCACTTTAGGATGTTTTCCTTTTTCCTTGGACTTATCTTTTTCCTTAGACTTATCTTTTTCCTTGGACTTATCTTTTTCCTTGGACTTATCTTTTTCCTTGGACTTATCTTTTTCCTTGGACTTATCTTTTCCCTTGGACTTATCTTTTTCCTTGGACTTATCGTTTTCCTTGGACTTATCTTTTTCCTTGGACTTATCTTTATCCTTGGACTTATCGTTTTCCTTAGATTTATCTTTGCCCTTGGACTTATCTTTGTCTTTATCTTCTGTTATCTTTTTACCCTTCTCATCTTTAGATTTAGTTTTCGAAGAACTGGAGTCTGATCTAGAACTCTTCTCCTCGATCTTTGCCACTTCAACTTTAACCTGTCCAACTCTGAACTTAAGCATGAATGACTCCCTCAAAGACTTCTTCCTGTGTCCCACTTTCCGGTACTCCTTCCCCTTCCTGGGTCTTATCTTGAAGTACCAGCAGCAGATCGAGATAACAATACCCAGACACACAAGCAGGGACACTACAGCTGATACAATGATTATAGCAAGCTCCAGCTGGTCTTGGAACTCCTTGTTACACAGATCGTGAGCGCAAGCTTCCTCTCTACACGTCTCACTCTTCATCTGCTGGAACCCGGCACACAGGCTGAAGTCAGGGGCTGAACAAGTCCGGTATTCTAACAGGACTGTGTCGGTGGTTTTAGCAGGTTGAGCAGGAGGTGTGGCACTAGTGTGGTACCAGGGTTGCGCTGTGGGGTATGCTAGTCCAGGTGGTAAGGTTAGTTCCACCCTGCTTGTGGCTATCAGACAGGACTGAGTACAGCTGATTATCTGGCAATGTTCCAGGTAATCCCCCACAATACCGCGTACCCCGGACGTCTGCCAGGTGATGAGCTCTGTGGTGTTACGATAAACCACTGTGTCATTGTGTTGCTTGTGCACGTAGCACTGGTAGCACTGGATAGTGGGTGGTGGAGTGGTGGGGAACAACTGGGGACGAGGTGAGGTTGGGAGGGGTGGCGTGGAGGCCGGGAGGGATGGAGTGGAGGGGATCAGACTCGATAACACCAGGGTCCACAACATTCCTCCTGTAAGAAGAAGATTAGCAACTGAGATTTATTTTATAAATCTTAGTTTTATTAAATTTATATGTACTATATTGACTAGTATACAGAACGGTAACTCCCAAATTCATATTGTTACTGGTATGAAAATATTTCAAATAAATTAAAACATCAACATGATACAGATGGTACTAAATAAAGTAATTTTCTGCTACAGAGTCAACCCAACTAAAATTACTTGCGTTAAAATAGATGACACAGATTTTGTTATGTCACAAAATTAATCAATTACGATACGATGATGCCATAATGTAGGTAGATGCGAAACCAAAATAATTGTAAAGATGACGTCACATTTGGTAATATATCTCGCATATTAGTGTAAATAGATAATTAATTAGCGATAATTGGTTATAATTAGGGCGTATTTAACAGGGTGAGATCAACAAACAACAGCAGGACAATTTCTTGGAAATAGAAACAAGCAACATCGGTGTTGTATGGATGGAAGCAAAAATTAAATGCAAGTTGAAGGAGAAGATAGATGAAAGTAGCGTAACGTCAATTAATTAATTACCTGTATTCAATAACCCAATAATTAGAAATAATGCGATCACATTATGAAATTGAATATTAAGGATATGCAATAGTGGCTCCCATTGCCCTGTAAAAGGAACATTTGACCTACAACGAAGGACCATACAATATTCATTACAAAGCGTTGTGTGGATAGATGCTATAAATAGGAATAACCTATGTTATAAACTTATAAACAATCTTATAATCTTAATTTATTCGTAACTTTAACCCGTTCTTGACATAAATAGCAAGTTTTTAAACATTTACAGTATTTACCTCCTTATTAATAAAGTTTCGACTGTGTAAATTATCCTGACATTATAATCAAAAAGAGATGATAATTGACCAAAACCCATAATCATGGGTAGAGTGAACCGCTGCCAGTGTCTCTCTTTTCCAAACAAAAGGAAATGATATTATTGAGGAACCGTCCGCAAATGCAAATTGATACCGAGAATGAAATTGGTCGCTTGCTTTTCCCATTCAATAAGCTTTATTACAATTCGTAACTCATCTATTAAAGATGGCACCGCACAGGAGGGCCAAGGTGCAAATAATATAAACTCTCGTGACCATGAGCGTGCGGCGCCAGGGGTTTTAAGCCCTATAAAGGACCATCAACCTTTACAATAACAACATTGTAATATAGCAATTCCTAAAACTTATAATAATAATACTCGTAGGACACAACAAAAACCATTTAAATAATTCTGACAAGATAACAAAACTGACAAAATCAACAAAATGTGATGTTTCTTTCAAGAAAATGTCAGATTTTGTTCCAAATAGACTCCAGTGATGACAATATTCCAATGAAGGTAACCAAATAAATCACTTATTTCTACGCAGTTCTCATATTCTCAAATAATTTGTAGTGTTAAAAGTATTAATGTGTTTAACACTACTATATAACACAATTTCTTTTCACTAAGTCTATTCAGAAAAAATCAGAAACTTTCTCGAAAACCGAATAAAATTACACGACTTAATAAAAATGTGCTGTTCTTAAAGAATTCTTAAGTTTACGGGAGTGACAAATAAATCAGGCAGTAATCTGATATCAGAAATATCGTGAAGCAAATGTATATACTTAAATAAGGCACGAATATATTAATGATACATATGACGATCCAGTGAGCTGAATAGAACTCAGAAAAACAGTTCTGCAGAGGATAAACAACAATATGTTTTCAGACACTGAAATTGCTAGGCAGTAATCAGATATCATATTTAACCTTACGATTAAAGGATTATACCGGTACCTGGTACAGAATGATTTGATTATGATGCATCAATAAAGGAAGTGTAATGAATGAAACTACGTAATGATAACTGTTAACAAAACGTTTGGTTCATGACTGATTAACTCCCACCTCGAACAACTGTTCTCAAACCCAGATTTGAATACAACACCTCTCCGTGTGTTATAAGACGCACTACAATTTGTACCGTCAGTAAAATAAGTCATCGCATAACCTAATTAAATGGCGAGCTTTGCAATCGTTCTGTAGACGAAAAGATGCTGTTAACGACGTTGTAAAGTTTTCCAATCAATATTCTAAAGTTCTACCAATAGAGGATTACGGGGCAAAACAAAACAGAAACTAACATTTTTGTGAGGCTAACGAATCAATTTGTTCAGAAAATAACAGAATTGCAACTCACTTAGTAATCGATACCTGTGGGGCACGACATTCTTACCTTACATTATTAAACTTAATTTAATGTAACGAGATTAAGTAGGTATAAATTATGAAGAAATGAGAGAAACTTGATTTAAAATCCAGCTAACAAATTAGACTTTGAAACGATGGTGCGAGGAATACTACGCACTTTAATCATCACGAAGTTTACCTACACAAAACTTCAATCACTCATACCCGGGATTTTAGAACAAATTGGGCATGATTCTAATAAACACCTAGATTTACATAACACGGGATGTAGGCTACAAATACCAAGTAATGATATCCTGATGTTGCAGACACTATAATGACTCGTAAATATTTGAGGGGAAATAAGATCAGATGCTGTGGCCAACTTGGGTAGAAGGTGATAAGGGGGAGGTAGTAAGTATCCTAGTTAGCTAAAACTAAAAGGTGTTGAATGATATCAAGAAAGCAAGAAAGGTGTTAAGTAAAACGGAAATGTGATACGGATCAGGTCGGAGCACATGCACAGCTGTGTAAATTAATTACCTTCCACCAAATTATCTGCATATTTTAGGAAACGTTACACCCCAGCTGCTGTGGGGATTACACGTTATAACGTTATAATACTCTGATAACAACTTTGCAAAGAACTGCAGGTAAATTCCTCATTTAAAGTCAAATTTAGATATCTTATTACACATTTTAGCTCAGGTAGGCTAAATTGTGCCATATTGTGCAGCTCAGCCAAAATCAGAGACAATATTTTCAATCGTGATGATCCAGCGCTGATAACTTTATAACTAAGAAGTTTTGGTCACATGTTAAGCATCAATCTAACTCCTGCCGTATTCCTAATTGTGTTAGTTACTGATCTGGACCGATTTCATTCTCGGTATCATTTTGCATTTGAGAACGGTTTATTTTTGGGGACTGGTTTATTAGCCAGTCAATGTTTACGAATATAATAACTTTATTAAATAATTATAAATATATAACATAAATCAAATCTTAAACCGAATATTTGCACCCAATTCATAAATAAAAATAAAAAAATGATGATTTATTGATTTAAACAAACAAAAGATAAAGCACACTGTGCTTCCAACAAAGCAACAACCTTTAAAGCTATTAGACTCGCGATTAGTTTTATTGATGTATTTATTAATCTACTGTAAGTGAAATGTGTCAAAAAATGAAAAAGAAATAAGTTCCGGATTTTAGACAAATAAGTTCCACGCACTCAGTTCAAATAATATAAAAGTATAAAAGAACTTTAAAAATACCTTTGATTTAAGAGCTCTCGAAAAGCAAACCACTGAGCACTGACGACCGTTGATCTGAGGCTGATATCAAATAAGCAACTGAGGGGCGGCAGTGACAAGTGTGAAGTGTGACTGAAGACATACTACCTCCAAACAACAAATCCATGTCTACCTCTGCCCGCATGTTATTATCAGCCTGGTAAGGGTTCTTGGATCCAGATAACCCCCGATACAAGGAGTAATAGGGCAAAAGTAGCTACTTTCTGGATGCAGAGAGCCTCACTGACAGGGGATGTTCCTGTGAATAGCTTGTCGGGACGGTTTACAGGGTTTATGAGGAGATAGGCAGGGTGCACACCGCACGTGTAGCTTGAGTCTGCATTGATACAACTTTACATGGGTTGTGACAGGTAATTCTATGCACTCACTGAACACAAAGTAATATCACTACAAAAACGATCAAAATGCCCCAGTGGTCCTCTCAAATCTTTACACGTGCATCAACTTAACGGGTGATACTCGTAAAATATCTGTTCCATATATTGGACCGTCGACGAGTCCAACTCGGCGCGCGTCCTGGTAGGTTGTAAACCTACAAGCATCAACTAATTCTTCTAATTCCACTGATTCAACTTCAACTTCAACAATATGTCAAAAATTTAAACCGTAAACTGTAATAGTTAATACTAATACTAATACAGGTACCCTGTAATAATACACTTAGTTTGTCTTATAACTGTTTTATATAAGTGTTTCGTTTCATTTCGTTTCGTAAGGACACCATTTATATTTATAAAGACGGAGCCCAAATGAAGTAAAATTAAAAACAGCAAGGCTTCATAAGTGAACAAGAATTTCGCCGCGGTTACACCACGCACGATTAATTTTCCCTGCTTAAAGTTAAACCGTTAATTATAATATTTGCAACGAAAAGTTAATTTTATCGATTAATTAAAATTAGTTATTGGATTATTTTGTTGTTAAAAAGTTGCAATATTTTCATCGTAATTTGTTATTGCGCGCGTGCAGGATTGCATGTAATCAAATTGCGAATATTTAGTACGCCGCGCGCAAATTTTGGGCTATTTTAATTTGAACGGCATCGTTTGACAATTGAAATTCGCGTTGGATACTGCAATTAAATAACACATGCCGAGCGTCGCGCGCAGCATAACAGACCCTTCCTATACACTTAATTATAGAGGAGTGGTCTATATTGCGAAGGAGCAGACTTTTGTCATCACCGCAGGTCCATCGGGATAGCTCATATATCCAAACCCGATTACTTATTCCCTACGATCTTTTTGCCTTCGGCAAGAGCAGGAAAAAAAATCAAAGACGCCACAACAGGTCTCAAAATAGATCGGGTGCAACAATTATAAAGCACTTTTCACACACCTTACTTCTACCAGAAAATTTAAAGACGGGTTGCGATGAGCTATTGTCCGAGAGGAAAGCAGCCCACGCTACTTCGAAGAAATTTAGACGAGTATCATCTGTCAAGATGAATTAACCGTCTTTAGTACTTTAGTATTTGAGTATGTTTGATATCTTAAAAGAAATGCACAACTTTATGTTGTCAACATGACAACATAAAGAATTGTAAAACAATATTTGAGAAATGTGAAAGAATAGAGCAATCAGCAAAACGTTTTAACTTTCCTCATAACAAAATCATGCATAATGCAGAAAAGAATAGAAATGTGAGAACGATGAAAAAGAAATATTTAAGTAGTGCAACAATTATAATAATATTTAATACAGTAACTTATTGCCATGTGGTTAAAGTACAGCACTATTTCGGATTTCCATGTGGTTCGGGAGATGCTATGAAACTTCAACTAATCATCGCATAAAACAAAATATAAATATAATCTTTCCATTCAGTTATGCGTCTACCCCTACTCACAGAGAAGCATTAGTCATGGTAAATATAGCCTCTATAAACTATACTTATATAGTATAGTATGTAAAAAGTGAACGTTATGACTGGAACAGTCTTACTGTCTCCCTGTCACTGAAAAAAAGTCATCGTATGAGCCGACTGATGAGATTACAATTTCATCATCGAGCGAGAAATCCACATTGTAACTTAACCAAACAGAGTAGCTACTACGCGTGTGCCGTGACCCAAGCAGAAATATTGAAAGAGGTTGTTAAGCTCTCAAAATAAGGCGCAGGTAAAATAACATAGTTCGATGCAGACGGGGTTGTCGTGAATCTATAAAGTACCTCTCCCAGGGGGTGACTGGACATGGGAGAATGACTAGTACGAATATCAGTGATATCTTGGCTAGCATCATGATGTTAGAGCAGGACTACAAATTGCAAGAATGATTAAGCGTGGCTAGCATCATGATGTTAGAGCATGATGTTAGAGCATTGTTAACAACAGAAAATTAACAAATGTTTACTAGGTTCCAATGATACAGTAAATAAAGATTTGAACTCAAAAGCGTTCGCTTTTGAGACCCTGTTCTTCGTTTCACGAATATTCCTCTTGTTAGCCGTTTAGACCAATTATTCTTAGCAGACCTTAGCAATACGATCGTCACGATTCCTAATCAGAACTTTTCCACTCAAGTAAATTGTATTATGCAAACTGTTGTTCTTCAAACTTATTTGCAGATGGCCGCAAAGAAAAAGAAAATATTTACTCGTATTGTGGAATAATAAAGTAGTTATTAGTACTAGTAGGAACTAGTAAAAATAATGATGAATAAATAAATAAAAGATGGGAGATTTAAAGGTGCAGTCCTCAATAAAATATCACTAACACATTTCTATTTTCTATGGGTTACTTTTGGGACTTTCGGACAGGACGACAGTTATCATCTGTGTAGCTTCTACATGTGAGATTTAAGTCGAGGTGAGGAAAGGAATTTATAGTGGTAGGAGCATTATAACATCCTGATAATATAAAAAATATTTTAATAATGCTACGTAATAATTCTTAAAAC